AATGAAGGGGGTGGTTGCAACTAGGGGATATAACTGGAGTCTTAGCTTGTTCTTGGGAACTGGAGGCTTGGAGGACTTGACAGTGAAGATTACTGAGTTACTCATGATGGGTTTACTTGGATGGCATTTGTGTCTATGCGAAATCCTTCAAGTGGGAGATTGTTGGGTTATTTGGTGAAGGCTTTAGAGCTTTGGGCTTTAAGCCCGGTCGGTTAAAGGGAAGAAATATGGGGGGCCGGTTTTAGTTATTAATTAAAGGGCCCATTAGTTGTTTCTTGTTTAGCAAGTTGTTAACCCTAATTTATATCTTATAAATACCCAATCATGTAACTATAATCTGTGAGCACCTAGTAAAAGATAAACCCTAGTTGCAACCCGTGGAGTAGGTTACTGACCGAACCACATTAAATCTCGTGTTCTTATTTTCTGCTATTTGTGTGTGTGTGTGTTTGTTCGCTTCCGCTTGATCGCCTCTGATCTCTGATTCCTAACAAATGCTAGAGTGTTGTTTGAGACAGCAAAGATAGCAAACCAATGGGGGAGTGCTTTCGTGGCCTCTTAAATGTGGGAGGAGACCCGAGGCTAGAACAAGGTGAGCTGGGGGAGTGTGAGGCACTTTGAGACTTTGGGCAGTCAGGTCATCAGAGGATTGAGTAGTGGGAGAGCATTGAAGCTGAATGAGATTCGGGTGGAGTTTTAAAAGCAGGTGGGTCGTGTTGGGTTGGTTAGGATAACCAAACTCTTCAATGTTATTTTCAAGATGACTAGGATGGCTGAGGAGTGGATGAAGAGTGGGTTGGTCCCTCTATTTAAAGGCAGGAGTGACACTCAGAATTGCAAGAATTACAGAGGCAACAAATTGCTTAGCCACACCATGAAGGTTTGAGAGCCAGTCATTGAGTATAGGCTGTGGAAGGGAGAGTGCATTTCCGAGAACCAGTTTGGTTTCATGCATGGCACATCGACCACAGAGGCCAGGCCATTCACCTCTTCCGGAGGTTGATGGAAGAGTATAGGGCCAAGAAGAAGGATCTCGATATGATATTTTTATTTCCTGAGAAGGCATACAATAGGGTGCCAAGAGAGGTTTTGTGGAGGTGTCTTGAGTCAAGAGGAGTCCCAATCACATACATCCGCGTGGTCAGGGATATGTACAGCAGGGAAAAGACTAGGGTAAAGTCCATCGGGAGTTACTCTAAGCCTTTCTTCGTAAAGGTGAGGTTGCACCAGGGGTCTGCCCATAGCCCTTTCTTGCATGCCCTAGTGATGAACGTCCTGGTGCGGGGAGTTCAAGGTGAGGTTCTGTGGTTCATGCCTGAGTTTATTAATGAAACCTGCGAGGGAATAAACAATAAGTTGAAACTTTGGATCCTTTCCATGGAATCCAAAGGACTCGGATTGTGTAGGACCAAGACTGAATACATGAATCTCGTTTGAATGGACGGAAGGCAGAATCAGGGGTGAAAGTTAGGATTGATGCTAACCTAGTGCCCAACGTAGACAAGTTTTGGCATCTTGGCTCGGTCATTCAAGCGAATGGAGAGTTGGACGAGGATGTTGTGCATTGTGTTGGAGAAGCTTGGGCTAAGTGGAGGATGGCTTCAAAATGTTGTGCGATAAGAAGATTTTGGCTGGGATGAAAAGTAAGTTCTACTGGTCTGTAGTCAGACCAGCTATGTTGCATGGGGTGGAGTGCTGGGCGATTAAGAAAACTCACGTTCGTTGACTACACGCTGCAGAGATGCAGATGTTACAGTGGATGTGTGCGAAGACGAGGATGGATAAGATTCTGAACGAGGTCATCCGAGGTCGAGTAGGCATGGCACCCGTGGAAGATAAGCTACGGGAAGCTACATTGAGGGTAATTTGAGCATGTTAGGCAGTGGAATGCTGACGCCCTAGTGCAGATATGCGAGAGCTTACGTTGGTGGGGGGAGTAGGGGAAGGGGTCAACTTAAGACGAATTGGAAGGAGTTGATTAAATAGGACGTAGGACTTCTTGCCCTTATTGAGGATATGGCCTTAGATAGGAGTGTTTGGAGAGCTAGGATTAAAGTAGTTGGGTAGGCGGCTTGGGTTAGGGTGTAGTTTTGTGTACTTGTTGTGTGCCTTGTATGATTCGTGCATGGTGCTTTTTTATTGCAGTCTTGTTCCTTCGTTAACTGTAGTTTGTTCTTTGCCTTTGTGTGCTTGTTGCTTTATCTGTGCTCTCTCCCATTCTCCTGTGATCTTTGTATCCGTGCAGCTTGAGCCGGGGGTCTCTTGGAAACAGACTCTCTACTTTCGACTAGGGGCAAGATATGCGTACACACACTCTCCCCATACCCTACTTTCGTGGGATCCAACTAGGTTGTTGTAATTGCATCCGAACACAATACTACGTATTTTTCAGAAAAAGTGTGAACCCAACATTAATTTGTCAAACTTTTACCAGAGAAGATATGATAATGTAAAAAATCATAAACATACAAGGAATGATTTTTGAAATATGTGAATATCGTATGTTTTCCAAATGCCTCATGATGAAAAAATAGAAAGGTAACATTGCAGGATGGTCATAGAGGTCTTACCAATAACCAGGAAGAAAAGGCAATGCATCAATGATAATGACACAGATAACAGTTGCTATAATAGATCCCCAAATGGCAACATGGGTAATCCAATTCCAATGAATTACATCCATTGCTAAATGTAGGTTGACCAAAATAACCACTGCAAGTGTCCAAAGATCGCCAATGCTTGAAGTATCAATATCATTTTTCCTGTATGCAAGAAGAGGCACAAAAAAGGAAACTGCACTTTGCCATATAGTGTCCGTCATTGTCAGCCAAAACAATTTCCGGTTGTAGCTTTCTTCTCTCTGTCCGGATCCATAAAGTTGAGGGCACTTCATAAGAGTCATTCTGCCTAGATCCTTTTCAAGAGTTCCAACAACAATTGTAGGGAGAGAGGTGTAGATTATTGAGTACAGAACACTACTCCAGTCAGTGATGGCAGTAGTCAAAGTGAAAGCCGTAAAGAGTGCATACCTAGTCGGAACAATTAAGTTTAATATCAGCTAATATTAAACAATTGCTAGAATGCTTCATTTGAGAGGTGATGATTTCAAAAGAAAAAAATACACTTCTTATATGGAATTCTTTATTTAAAATAAGTAGCTTCCAAGTCACACCCCAACCCGCCACAATGTAAAAAGAACAAGAAGGGAAAACCATCAACCAAAGAAGGATGTATGATTGCTTCTTGAGCTCTTCTAAAATTGCCAGAAGTCATGAACTTACCAGAACAGGACAAAAACCAACAGAGCATTCCTGTAAAAATTGTATAATATCATGTAGCCCAATCGCTGGTAGTTCCAATGTCCATGAACCAATAAAAGCGGAACCAAAAATCTGAACTGGCCCATCACAAAATCTGATGCCATGACAGCTTGACGACCTTCTTGGCCACTGATACCTATCCCCACATCAGCAGTTTGGATCATTGAAACATCATTTGCACCTGAAAAGCATATGTTAGATTATGCATGCATCAATATATATGAAACAAAATATTTTTGATTGTCATTAATAATAATATTATTATTAGCTATTACTCCCTCCGTCCTAAAATGTTCTTCCCACTCACTTTTTACCCGGTCAAACTTTAATCACTTTCTTTACCTATTTTCATTAGGTATTTGATAAAATAATAGTCTTGTCACCACTTGTTTTGTAGAACTTTTGATGTAGTTTTTAAATATATAAATTTTATATTTTAATTTTACACCTACAATCAAATAAATTGAATTGAAAATAAAGTCGGTCAAACCTCGTAAAATGAACCGGGAAGAACATTATAGGACGGAGGGAGTATTATTTTCTCTGCCCATATTAACTTCATATAATATGACTATTCACATGTCAAACTTTATCTTCTTTCCTTGCCTATCTTCTTTTCTTGTGGCGTGGAGTTACACCGGGAAGATTTAAACTTTAATCTTGTGTCGTATTCTATTCTTATAAAGCAATGGTGGTTCCTTGGAAAAACCAAATGTCTTTTGGCAGCATGTTCTTTGGTTCATAATTAGATGATACGTTTGATACTCACCATCTCCGATTGCAAGGGTCATCTCATCTGTTCGGTTTTTAATGAGAGCAACAATGCCAGCTTTTTGCAGAGGAGCTACTCGACAGCACAGTACCACAGTACAGTTGCTAGCTAGTTGGAACAACTGAAAATAAGCAAGAGAGGTAAGCACTACATATTAAACATATAAGTTGGACAGAAAGAGCATATGAGCATACCTGCTCTTCAAGATCACTGTCAAGGATATAAACAAGGCTCGTTCCGTCAATGATCAATGCAACTGAATTGGTATTAGCTACAAATTTTGTTCCAGAAGTATGTGCCATAATCTTCTTAGTTAAACTCATTGCATCATCCAAACTCCTCTTGCATGAATCCTTAGAGTTGCATTGAACCGTAATATGTGTCATTGTACTCGTTATAAGCCTAGACGAGTAGCCAATTGAAATTGCTGTTTCTTGCTTGTCCCCCGTCAAAACCCAAACTTTAATGCCCGCTGATCTCAAAGACTTGATCGCTTCTGGGACACCTTGTTGCAGTTTATCTTCTATTCCTGAAGCTCCTAGTATGCCAAGATTGCTTTCAATATCAGTAGCAACTTTACAAAGTAAAGCGGCCCTCCCAATTACAGCAGTACTTGCGGCCTCATAAGAAGTCTGCCATCGTTGAAATTCAGAAACACTCAATTCTCTCATTCCCACCACAAGAGTTCTCAAACCCATTGACGAATAAGAATGGAGATGTGATTCAGTTGCACGAACTATGTCCAAGTTCAACGATGCATTGATTACACTAAACATGGTTGTATCAGCACCTTTAACAAAGAGCTTTATTGTTTTATCAGGGCAACCTAACATTACTGACATCCTCTTCCTATCACTGTCAAACTCATGCAAACCCAAAACATCGAATCTGCATTACATGAATAGAACTCAGAAACTTATATATACTCTGTCCCGTTATTATCCTCATTCATTCCTTTTACCTATGTCACAAAATTATCTTCTCTTTCTTTTTTTAGGAAGGGAATCTGTGGTTGAAATTTATCTCTTCGAAACAAATATAAACCACTCTTTCAACTTCATTAAAATCATGCAAAGTCCGATCCGGAATTTTATAAGGGTGAAGAAAGTAAATTAACAAATTATCATCACCTTAATCCGTACTATAATTAGTAAATATGATATAATAGCTAAGGTTTATAACTTCTAATGCGGTGGATGACTATATAACTTTTGCTAACTATGAACCAGCGAAGCATGCTAGTTAGACCCCACTTGGTGAAATACACTGGCTTTGTTGTTTTTGTTGTTATTCTAATAAAATTTAAAATAATCCTTAGATTGACCATCTTAAAAAAACTAGGTATATTCAAAAGCTAGTGTAAATGATTGACTTTCAAGTTTCAATATTTAATTGAGTATGTAGGACTGCTCAAACAGTAGGAGCACCAGCATACCTCCCTCAACCACCTAGGATTGATACTTAATTCCGCCCACCCCCACCCCACCCCAATATCCCCTTAGTCGATTCCAAAAGGTTTCAATATTAAGTAGACCAATTAATAAATAAATATCCTTATGTTGTATCCTCTACACATACACACCGTTCCAAAAACATTCTGGAGACATTTAATTAGATTTATTTTAAAGAACAAAGATGAGATGTATTTATCAAGTGTCCGTCCAACATGATCTACATAATCAAATCATTTTCAAACCGTTAAACTGGTAAGGGAGAATAAAAAGAAGTACAAAGTTAGATGCATTTAAAATAGAAAAGTGAGTATCATTTCACAACATTCCATATCACCGACGAAGGGAAAGATTCACTATTTTTTTGGCTTTGGGGTATGATGGAGTAAAGCAAAATCGCTCGTTAATTTGTATGTGCTTCTTTTAATAGTGAAGTTGCAGTTAGACAATGCAACTTTCAACGCTCATCATGGGTCATTTGGAAACATTTGCTCTATTTTTTAACATAGGAGTCAGACTCCGTACAGGGGCCTTTGAGGCACTGGGATAATGTTGTTGGATATCATTTCATTTCAGCAAAAACTAAAAAGGAAATTTTGACAAAGAAAAGGATATTAAATGAAGTTACACTTACCTTTGTTTTTCTCCTTGGATATCAATAACAATATGGCCAGATGTTCGTTCAATAAGCGTGAAACCATACGCTGCTGCTGCATACACCAATGCCTGCTCATCCGGAGACTCTCCTTGATATTCAATCCATTTTACTGCAGGATTGGGTGAGTCCGTAGTAAGAGGAACAATAGTGTTGCAAGCAGCCAATGCTAGGAAGAAATCATGAACATGGTTTTCTTCATCCGTATGTTTTCCAACTTTCAATATTCTAATAAGCTCTTCGTCCACCTTTACGTTAATCTTGGGCCTTAAAACCTGCCCATCCTCTGGTACAAAATAATATAAACAATAATTGTATGTTCAGTAAGTGATATGGATGCGTAGGGTGGGAGATTGGGGGGAAGGAATAAGCAAAGCATTGGCACCTTGAATGTTGTATACTTCTTGATCATCTACAAGACTGGACATTCTGCTGCCAGTGCTGCCATAATCTACTCCCCAAATGCTTGCACATTGAAATTCCATCTTGTTCTCAGTTAATGTACCAGTTTTATCAGAGAAAACGTA